GGATGCTGGCACCACAGGCTAGGATTAACCAAGTGAGCCATGGCGCCGGCCCCTCCATGTCCTTTTGACTAGACTGAAGCATGCGTTCATTGGGCTAGCCGCAGCACAATCTGGTCCCTTCTTAGAGAAATGAAAAACACAATGAGCTACTGCTGAAATCCTGGTCAAGTTCCAGAACAAATGCAATCATACAGTATTTGCATGGAAGACAGGAAGAGGGGAACTCTTCCAGGATTTGCAACAAAGCATTGCCTGAGAACCTAGCGCTCCTTCAGTCCCTACACTTGCCAATCAGTGTTCTCCAGCAGGAGGACATGCCAGCTCCCCGACCCCAGCACCAAGAAACATGCTGCCTCCTAAGCCCAGGCCCCGGCCTCTACCACCTGTGCTTGCAGCAAGTAGTGCTCCTTCTGTACATTGTTAAAAACGATGCAATCAGCACTTCAGAGGAACTGTCCTTCCAGATCAACCTATGAAGACAGATTCTGAGCCACACAAGAATACCATCACTTTGTAGATATCCTTGTTTTGCATCAGCGACAGTCTCTTTCTCTTTGGCCTTTACAGACTGTCAGTATTGGCTATGACTGCTGGACCCTGTCCAAAAACCAAGTATAACTCTATGTATTATGCCAGGCCTAATTTTGAAACAGTGAGATAGAGTTTTCAGGACACAAAGATACAAAAAAGGAGCTAAAAGAGTTCATCTCTAGTCTCATATATTCTTCTAAACTCAAGGGCAAAGATCATCCAGTTGTTACCTATGCTGGTTTCGACCATGAGATTAGATCTTCTTTTCAAATGTTTGGACAGTTAAAGTCTAATTTCTTGGAATGGAATAAAAAAATATTTGGAAACTGAGAGCACAATAATATGTAACTATTTAAAGAGGTGTTTTTAGTCCCTTTAACTGAGATCAAAGGGCCTAAAATGGCCTGAACCCCATGGAAGAGAAACACTCACTAGACTTATCTGAGTGGCGGCACTGAGCTATTACTCTTATTAGGTTAGTTTGATATGGGTGATGTGTACATCTAGAACAACCCTGAGCTATCCTTTGCTGATACATTTCTTATCTATTCTCAGAAATATTCTCCCTAATGTTAATCTGTAATCTTTTCAATAGCTGCTTTCCATCAGACAATACTCTCCCTGTCCCTGAAGATGAAGAAAACAATTCTCAAGCAGTTAGAAATTTATTCTCCCCCCTTTACCTAAATCCCATCTTTTAAGGCCAAGCCAATGTGTGCTCACTGTGTGATACATAAATCATAAATTCTTTCAAGAACTGACCACTACAGAACACTTCCCAAGTCTCATTGAAAGTCATTGGGCTTCTGCCCTGAATACACCTTAAATTCGTCCTTTTACAGATCTTGCTTATTTCCATCAACAGTATTTTGGTGCCCAACATGGGACCCAGAGAAGACTCAGGACCCCTGGAGGTCCAGATTCGCACTTGGTACCAGCATGGGACCCTTATGCTCCTCTGACGTAAGCTTCTCCCCTGGGTGGAATGCTAACTACTACATTGTTTAAAAAATCTTAAAAAAAAATGTATATGCTGATATCTATATTTAGTTTTTAAAAAATTAAATTGGCTTTATACTGTAATGATGTCTCAATATCTTGCTTGTAGGGGCCAGCACTATGGCATAGAAGGCTAAGCCTTTGCTTGCAGTGGCAACATCCCATGTGTGTGCCAGTTCGAGTCCTGGCTGCTCCACTGCCAATCCAGCTCCCTGATAATGCACCTGGGATAGCAGTGGAGGATGGCCCAAGTGGTCGGGCCCTGCACCCACATGGGAGACCCACATGAAGCTCCTGGCTTTGGCATGGCCCAGCCCTGGCAGTTGTGGTCATTTGGGGAGTGAACCAGCAGATGTAAGACCTCTCTGTTTCTTCCTCTCTCTCCTTCTTTGTGGCTCTGCCTTTCAAATAAATAAAATATCTTTTAAAAAAAAATCTTGTATCATAACGATTTATTCTGAGGTAGACTTTCATATGCATCTCTGAAGACTATTTTTGGGAATACTTCATTTCTTTTACAAATATTTAAGTGACCACCAATACTGCTATACCAGCTAAGTAAACAATGGTAATTGTAGAGTCTTGCCCTCAGGTACAAGGCACTTACTGTGGAGTAGGGGACACTGTCTAATATGTGTTTTTTGGTTTTTTTTTTTTTTTTTACGATTTATTTATTTATTTGAAAGGCAAAGAAATGGAGAGAAGGAATGAGAGAGAAAGATCTCCCATCCACTGGTTCACTCTCCAAATGGTTGCAATGGCCAGGGCTGGGCCAAGCCAAAGCCAGGAGCTTCTTCTATGTTTCCCATGTTGGTGTAGGGGTCCAAGCACTTGAACCATCTACTTCTGTCCCAGGCATCTAAGCAGGGAGCTGGATCAAAAGTGGAGTAGTTGAGACCTGAACCAGCACCCATATGGATGCCAGCTCTGCAGGCAGAGGCTTAACCTTCTATGCCAGAGTGCTGACCCCCAATGTAGTATGAAGAGGACTACAGGGACAAGGTCCGTAGTTGGGACCCGATATGGTGGTTAAAAAGGAATTCCAGTGGCCAGCACTATGGCGTAGCAGGTACAGCCACCACCTGCAATGCCAGCATCCCATATTGGTATCTGGTCCCCGCTGTTTCACTTCTGATCCAGCTCTCTGCTAATGCACCTAGGAAAGCAGCAGAAGATGGCCCAATGCTTGGGCCCCTGCACCCACGTGGGAGACCCAGAGGAAGCTCCTGGCTCCTGGTTTCTTTGGCTTAGCTCCGGCCATTACAGCCATATTCTGCCACATTTTATTTATCCAGTCATTGCTTGAGATTTTTCCCCCCATTTTTGGCTATTATGAATAATACTGATATAAAAACTCATGCACAAGTTTTTGTGTGGAATTTGAAGGTTTTATTTTTTATTTACTTGTGGTGGGGTGTCGCTCCCCGTCTTCGTGGAGGAACGACACAGGACCCTGCGTTGTTCTTTCGTCTGCTCGGCCCTTCCTGGGTTTCCTGCTGGTTCTTCCCAGGTTGGCTACCCTGCCACTTTCCCCCACTTCCGCGGGGGAGTGGCACACCGCCGGCCGGCTCTCTCGGGGGCTGCACAGGTGTTCCTTCAGATAGATGTTCCCTGGTGCATGTTGTCTCTCTCCTCCTTTATAGTCCTCTTCCACCAATCCCAACTCTGCTACCCACATGCCGAGTACGCTGCTCTCCTCCAATCAGGAGCAGGTCCTGCTGTTTATTGGTTGAACTGGAGGCAGCTGTGTAGAAGCTGTTTCCTCCTCTCCCAGCGCCATATTGTGGGAGAGCAGATGCATAGAATAAGTCTTAATTCCAGTAACAGTATAGTCCGAGTTGCTCCCCGCAGTGGGGGTCTCTTCCAGCTGCTGTTTCACTCCCCAAAAGCCTTTCACAGCTGGCTCTGAGCTGCACCAGACAAAAGCCAGGAACTCGAAACTCCACCTGGGTCTTTCATGTGGGCAGCAATAACTTAGCTACTTAGCCATCACCTGATGCACTCGCAGGAAACACAGGGAGGATCTGAACCCAGGCACTGTGATGCAGGATACAGATGTCCCAAACGACACCTTAAGTGCTGCGCCAAATGCCTGCCCCTTTGAGAGGTTTTAAATAGAGGAGCTCTTCATTCAATAACTACCTGTTGAATACCTACTGCTTACTGGCTATGTTCCAGGCACTGAAGATTTAGCAGCAAAACAAAATTAACAGCAACCAGATTAAACTCATAGAGCATATCTTTCACATTCCCTGATGGTCTTATAACCATACTGTCATTTTAAGTATGAGCTGCTAGTCCTGAAATATCTGGTTCAATCCTGCTACTTTCAGGTGTGATGTCTGGCATTCTCACTTGAAGTATCAGCTGCTATTCCTGAAACATTTGATTCAATACTATGTTAACTTGAGATGTGATGTTTGGAAGGTATACCTAGGCGTCTATTTATAGCACACTAGTTCTTGTTTCCTGATTTTAATTAGAAAACATTTCTTGGAAATTGATTTCTACTAATAATTATACGATAATGACAGTTCTTAGTTTATTCTTTCAAACTTATTTGGCAAAATTTTTACAAAGGGCCTATTTTATACTCAGCAAATTACTTTAAAAGAGTAGTACAGGGGCCAGCACTGTGGCCCAGTGGGTTAACACCCTGGCCTGAAGCACCAGCATCCCATATGGGCACTGGTTCTAGTCTCGGCTGCTCCTCTTCCCATCCAGCTCTCTGCGGTGGCCTGGGAAAGCAGAACACGGCCCAAATCCTTGGGCCCCTGCATCCGCGTGGGAGACCCCGAGGAAGCTCCTGGCTCCTGGCATCAGATCGGCGCAGCTCTGGCTGTTGCTGCCATCTGGGGTGTGAACCACTGGATGGAAGACTCTCTCTCTCTGCCTCTCCTCTCTCTCTGCAACTCTGACTTTCAAATAAATAAATAAATCTTAAAAAAAAAAAAAGAATAGTATAGTTCTGCTTTTTTGTATCACCACATGATTATTCCTCTGCAACCAACTCTGCCACTGCCAGCCTCTATAAGACACCAGAGCAATGCGGTCCCCATTCCTGATCTGTGAACCTCCAAACTGTAAGTCAAAATAAACCATTTCCTTCCCAGGAAAAAAATGGAGGGAGGGTGGGCGTTGTGGTACAGCACTTTAAGCTGCTACTAAGCTTGCAATCAACATCAGTGTCTGAGTCCCAGCTACTCTACTTCCAATCCAGCTTCCTGCTAATGCATCCTGGAAGGAAGATGATGGCTCTAGTGTTTGGGCTCCCAGTTTTGGCCTGGCCCAGCCCTAGCTGTTGTACACATCCTGGGAGTGAACCAGTGGATGGAAGAGCTCTCCCTGTCACTCTGCCTTTTAAGTAGATGAAAATAGACATCTTTTTAATTAAACAAAAACAGAATTTGTTTTCAAGCAAAACAAATTATAGCTTCAAAAACAAAGTTATAGGAAAAATGAGTGCCTACCTCATTTCTATAGGGCTTTACATATACCTCCACTGATGTGTGTGCCCATCTTCTTCTCTTTTCTTTCCAAAATATCGAGCGACATTACCATAAACTATTGGTTTAACAATAGTTACTCCCTAAAAGAAAATAATTTAAAAACCATTAAGTTTTTTTCATAAGCTTTTCCATTACCTAAATAGAAAGGCTGAAAATACTGAAAGCTTATTAAAGAATCCCAGTCTAACAATCTAGAGTTGTTATAACATGGATTTCTCTTAAATGAATTTCAGACAGTTACCATCATTTTATAGTAACATCAGATTAATTACAACGTTTCCACTTTGAAAATGTTATTTAAATTGCCACATAAACCATTTTGACAGTTTTGTTAAAGGGAACACAAAAAGCCCTGGGCATTGATATAAAAATCACCAATTTTGACTGGCATCCCCTGATGACAATATCCTTAGTCTATGGCAGTGTTCCCAAAGCATGGGGCAAATATCAAAAGCAGTTTGTGAGAGGATTTTAGATAGAGTAAGGGCAAACATTTTTCACTTTATTACTTTGTGTTTACTTTAATCAGTATGAGAAAGATCGTAACTGTAACTAGAATTTCAAATCCACAGTTTCTAAAATATTAGTGCTTAGGGAAGCTTTGGAAAACTGGATCAATTTAAAGGTGTCACAATAAATGTTACAGTAAGATTCAGCCAGGGCAAATACGGTAAAGTGGTGCCTGTATAATGCAGCCTGGTCAGCACCGGCTGATGCATGTCTGCTCCATTTGTGCTCAGCTCTGAAATGCAGATGCATGTTTCTCATCACATTTGACAAGTATAAAGGAAGTTGAGTGTTGACACAGTCAGATGGAGGGTTTAACATTTTTAAATGAAAACAGTGACAGTTCCACGTGAATGTAAGACCAATTGTTCAACAGTAGGAAAGAGCAAGCTATACCATGTGGAAAACAACCAACAAAATTAGAAAAACACAAGGAAAAAGAATAAAAGGGAAAAACTTAATTGTAGTTGGATAATTTACAATGAAATCCAACATTGGGGCCGGCGCCGCGGCTCACTAGGCTAATCCTCCGCCTTGCATCACCGGCACACCGGGTTTTAGTCCTGGTTGGGGCACCGGATTCTGTCCCGGTTGCCCCTCTTCCAGGTCAGCTCTCTGCTGGGGCCCAGGAGGGCAGTGGAGGATGGCCCAAGTGCTTGGGTCCTTCCACCCACATGGGAGACTGAGAGGAAGTACCTGGCTCCTGGCTTCGGATCGGCGCAGCGCCGGCCGTGGTGGCCATTTGGGGAGTAAACTGACAGAAGGAAGACCTTTCTCTCTCTCTTTCTCTCACTGTCTATAACTCTACCTGTCAAAAAAAAAAAAAAAAAAAAAAAGGCAAGCAGTTTGAATAAAAAGTTAAATAATCATAGTAAATTCTACTGCTGACATTTTTATGGCGAGCAGATAGGAACGCAGGGTCAAGGCCTGAGTACAAGCACCCTGATGTGGTGAGTGCGTAACAGACCCCATAGCTGCTACGGTGTTGCTAGGAACTTGCAGTTCAGTGAAGAGAACGCTCACCCAGAGGCTACCTGGAAGAAATTTATCTAAATGGGAAAAAGATGCCTAAAAGAGCACATAGTAATCAGTGAGGAAGAGTAATAAATCCCCTAACTTTGAAGCTTCATGTCATTAGTCATTATTATTGGTGAAAAAGCATTTGCAGACTGTAAAATTTACCTTCTCAAATCACTCTGGACTGAAACCTAGAAACTTTTAGAACCCAACACAATTTCATCTAGAGAAAGTTCTCTAACTTTTTCTCCTAAATCTAATGTTTTAACCCTTTGTCCGATAGCAGCTTCCTATCAGTCCAAACCCTGCCCCAGAAGGCTGGGCAAAATGTATGTTTTTTTTTCAAAGATTTATTTATTTTACTTGAAAGTCAGAGTTACACAGAGAGAGGAGAGGCAGAGAGAGAGAGAGAGGTCTTCCATCTGCTGGTTCACTCCCCAGTTGGCTGCAAGCCAGGAAGGCCGAAGCCAGGAGCCAGGAGCTTCTTCCGGGTCTCCCACGTGAGTGCAGGGGCCCAAGGACTTGGGCCATCCTCCACTGCTTTCCCAGGCCACAGCAGAGAGCTGAATGGGAAGTCCAGCAGCCGGGACTCGAACTGGTGCCCATATGGGATGTCAGCACTTCAGGCCAGGGTGTTAACCCACTGCGCCACAGCACCGGCCCCCAAAATGTATGTTTATGGAGCTTATGTTTATGTTATGAAGCTGAGATAGTGAACTGGCTATCTCTTTCCACTTCTAGGATATTTCAGTAGTTTTTGATTTTTAGAGAATTTCCACCGTGTGTGGATATTAAAACACAATGTGACACCGGCAATTAATATAAAGTGTAGTCTTATAGTGAAGGTGTATGCAAAGTTTCATGAAAAAGTTAACCAAAAGCACACTTACACTCTTAAACTTTTCCCACCTAGACTGACCATACCCAGTCATAACCTGAATATAAAAAACTCAAATAATTTATTTTTATACAGCATCTAGGGGCCGGTGCTGTGGCGAAGCAGGTTAAAAAGCTGCCTGCAGTGCCAGCATTCCATATGGACGCTGGTTAGATCCTGGCTACTCTACTTTCGATCCAGCTCTCTGCTACGGCCTGGGAAAGCAGTACAAGTTGGCCCAAGTCCTTGGGCTGCTGCACCCGCCTGGGAGACATGCAAAAAGCTCCTGGCTCCTGGCTCCTGGCTTTGGATCAGTGCAGCACCGGCCCATGCGGCCACCAGGGGGGTGAACCAGTGGATGGAAGACCTCTCTCTGCCTATGCCTCTCTGTGACTCTGCTTTTCAAATAAATAAATCTTTTTAAAAAACACAATGTAATCATTTTAGACACACTATAATTAAGATAATGTAAAACATAACATGACAAGGAGGACTCAGAAAGAACTACAGACTAACTAGATTGGTGCACAAGTGGGCGTTTGGCTCAGCAGTTAAGCTGAGTTGTAGAACCCACAGCCAAGTGCATGAATCAACACAGCTCCTCCGATTCCCACCCAGCTTCCTGCTAATGCACACACTGGGGGCAGCACAAGCCATGATTCAAGCACTTGCGTCCCTGCCACCCACATGCGAGACCTGGATGGAGTTGCAGGTCCTTGGCTCCAGCCTGGCCCTTACGGGTATTGGGGGAGTGAACCAATACATGGGAGATGACTGTGCTTGTCTTTAAAATGTAAAGCAGTTTTTTTTTTTTAAAGTGGTCGATTTCTTTTTTAGAGAAAAATCTCCTTTCTGCGCTAAGAACCAGGAGGGGGTAGGAACAGGTTCTCAGCATCAGGAGCAGCCGCCGTCCACCGCTTCCTAGATGCCGGGCAGGCACAAGTGTTGTTCCTCGCACGCATCCAGTCGTCTCTTGCCGGCCGCCTTGGCGTCTCGTGAACCACGGCCAATTTCCTGAACTTCCTACGCCTGGGTGCCTCCGCGGGGCACCCGCCTACCGGGGACCTGGGCGGGCAGCAGCGTCGGGGCTCCCCAAGCCCCCGCTGGTCGTGTCTGTGTTCTGGCGGGGGTGGGGGTGGGGGTGGGTGGGGGCGGTGACGCGCCGAAGCTGGGGACCAACAGACACTGCTTTTTCGCTCTCCGCCTTTGGCTCGCTCTCCGCCTTGAATTCGCGGTTCAAATCCCCGGGGAGAAGGCGCGAAGGGGAAACACGCGGGAGAGAGCGCCACCCCCGGCAGGGCGGCGCGGGCCGGCACTGACCTTTACTCTCCCGCCGGAGTCAGGCCCAAATTCGGCCATTCTCTTGAACATATTGTCCCCCGGAAGAAGCCGCCGCCGCCGCCGCCAGGGAAAGAGACTGGGGCCGGCGGGGTCGCCGCTGCCCTCAGAGGGCCCGCTCCTCCCGCGCGGGCGCAGGCGGAGGCTTTCCGGCTAAGGGAAGGCGAGTCACAGCGGCTCGAGGCGCGCAGCTGCCGCCAACCCTTCCAGGCGGACGCCGTCCCTGAAGGCCATTCAGCCCCGGCGCGGGAGGAGGGCAGAGCGGGAGGAGGGGCGACGGCGACGCAGTACGCAGGCGCGCCGGGGTGGCGCGCGCACGCCGGGCACACCGCGCACGCGCCTGAGCGCGGCCCTGCCTACACCGGAGGGCTGCTGTAGTTCCTCAGAGAACACAGTGGAAGGGAGGGCGTAATTAATACACGGTTTCAGAGGGCTTGCCGGAACTTAAGGATAGGAGTTTCCACACTGGAAGGGTCCACCCTGTGCCAAGATGCAGACAGACCCACCTGGCGAACTTTGCAGAGCATCGGGGACCCTCCACATGGCCAGTTATGAAGATTCTGGAATCAGAACGGCTTCAGATTGCTCAGTAGCAGCAGTCTAGGGAGCAGTGAAGTGCTACCCTCGATTTTCTGAAGGAAACTTACTTCCAACTTAGTTGTCAACACTTGGACGACTAGCCTCCAAGTTTCAGACATGCGCAATCTAAACTAAACGTGCCTCTCAGTCACCTTTCTCAGGAAGATGCTAGAGATGTGATCCATCACAATGCGGGAATAAGCCAAGAAGGAGAACATTGGGAAACCCAGGAAACACAATAGATACGAAACGGTAAGGGGAGCATAGTGAATGCCAAGAGGATGCTGAAAGAGCCCGCAATGCCAGCTGTGCGCAGGCAGCCAGCCAGCTGCCCCGGCCAGATTTCCTTTTGGTCAGAAATGTCTGGGAAATTCTGTGTCAGAGGATGGATTTGACAGCACTCCGGCTGCACCTGAACCTGAAGAGATTTAATGTTCAACCTAGAGTCTGGGAGTTGAACGGATACACAGAAACCCAAAGAGATTCAAGGATCATGCAGGTACTAGCTTCAGGGAAAACAAGATCTGTGCAACAGAAGGAGCTGTATTTATGACTACTGAGTATTGATTTAACCCCACGCGTGGAAGGCCGGGCTTTGGAGAGAGTGATCTACATGATGAAGGTAGGAGAGGAGGGTATAGAGCTTCATCTTTAACTCCTATAGGTTTAGAAACCAATATCCTAAAATGGGGGAGGGGAGAATAATATAAACCTAATATTTATTTTTTAAAGATTTATTCATTTATTTGAAAGTCAGAGTTACACAAAGAGCGTAGGAGAGGCAGAGAGAGAGAGAGAGAGAGAGAGAGAGGTCTTCCATCCATTGGTTCACTCCCCAATTGGTCGCAGTGGCTGGAGCTGGACTGATCTGAAGCCAGGAGCCAGGGTCTTCCTTCAGGTCTCCCATGCAGGTGCAGGGGCCCAAGGACTTGGGCCATCCTCCACTGCTTTCCCAGGCCATAGCAGAGAGCTAGATGGGAAGCGGAGTAGCCAGGACTAGAACCGGCACCTTATGGCATGCCAGCGCCACAGGCGGTGGCTTAACCCACTACACCACAGCGCTGCCCCCAAACCTAATATATAAAGCCATCAAAGTAACTACAACACTCCTCATGGTAAGCTAAAAGAGAGGAAAATTACAACTGCTAATTTTTAGAAATCCCAGCAAATTTTAAAGAAAGATTTATTTATTCATTTGAAGGGCATAGTTACAAAGAGAGAGAAGAGACAGAGAGAGAGAGAGCTTCCATCTCCTGGTTCACTCCCCTAAGGCCACAACAGCCAGGACTGAGCCAGGCTGCAGCCAGGGGCCAGGAGTTTCTTCCAGGTCTCCCACATGGCTGCAGTGCATCTTCCACTGTTTTCCCAGGCGCACTGGCAACAGAGCTGGATCGGAAGTGGAACAGTGGGGGCATGAACCAGCACCCATATGGAAGCTGGTGTGGCAGGTAGTGGCTTAACGTACTGCCCACAGGCGGGCCCCAGCCTGCCTTCTTCAGTCGACTTTCGTTGATCTCTGGCCGTTTCTCCAGTCAGCCCGTTATTGGGCTATCATATAGGCCCCATCTTTGTTTATGAACTGTCATTCTCCAAGTCTCAGTACTCTACTTTGACTCATTCTTGTATACGTTGGGCTATACTGATCTGAATTAACTCAAATTCTTTCTGAGTATACTGGCATCAGAGAGGCACGAGAATCTTGAAGCCGAAGCACGCACCAGTGTAAAGGCCCTCTGCTGCCCTCTCATGGCTGATCTATGAACTACACTTACATAAACAGTTCAAACTGGATTGCAGAAACTATTGCGTGGGAATCCTGTGGGTTAAAGAGTAAGGAAAATCTTAGAGTGCTCAACACAGAAGGAATGTACTACATGAGCAATATGGCTATTCAGTCGACTTATGTTCATTCCAATCACTGTTCTGGGTGTTTGAAATAAGGAGGTGACCAAGAGCCAAACACGTCTCTCTTACCTATCAGGACAGTGGCTCTGCATGGTGTGTCAGAGATGTGACAAGATAGAGAGCATCCAGTGGGGAGAAGGAGCAGCCCCCAGAGGGGCTGCAGAGCCTTAGTGGAGGCACCTGTTACATGGTGTGCCTGTGTTGAGAGATTGATTGATATATTTTGAGGCTATTTATTAAGCACGGTGGATATGTTTCTCACTGTCAGACAATCGAGCATAAAACATGAAAAAGGAGAAATTCAAACCCCATGGCATGGTGTAAGATTAGAATTGCAGGTATTGGTGTGAATTAATGAATTTTGATATAAATATAAAGATATAGGGGAAATATAATTGGGGCGAGCATTTGGCACAGCAGTTAAATACCACTTGGCATACTCATATCCCATATTGGAGTGCCTGAATTCGAGTTTCAGCTCTGCTTCCCATCCAGCTTCCTGATAATGTGCACCCTTAGAGGCAGCAGGCAATGGCTCAAGGAGTTGGGTCCCTAACACTCATATGGGAGACCTAGATTGAAATCCAGGCTCCTGCCTTTGGCCTGGCCCAGGCTTGGCTGTTATGGGCATTTGGGAAGGAACCAGCAGACCGAAGATCGGTCTCTCTGTATCTCTTTTCTGAGTCTCTGTGTCTGCCTGCCCTCTGTTTCTCTGTCTTTCAAAGAAATAAAAATACAAAAATGGGGCCGGTGCCGCGGCTCAACAGGCTAATCCTCTGCCTGCGGTGCAGGCACCCTAAGTTCTAGTACCAGTCGGGCCCTCGCATTCTGTTCCGGTTGCTCCCCTTCCAGTCCAGCTCTCTGCTGTGGCCCGGGAGTGCAGTGGAGGATGGCCCAAGTGCTTGGGCCCTGCACCCGTGTGGGAGACCAGGGGAACCACCTGGCTCCTGGCTTCGGATCAGCGTGGTGCACCGGCCACAGCGGCCATTGAGGGGTGAACCTACGGAAAAGGAAGACCTTTCTCTCTCTCTCTCTCTCTCTCTCTCTCTTTCTCACTGTCCACTCTGCCTGTCACAAAAAAAAAAAAAAAAAAAAGTACAAAATGTTCTTTAATAAACCTCAAGGGGATGCCAGCGCTGTGGCATAGTAAGTTAAGCTGCTGCCTGTGGTACCAGCATCCCATATGGGTTGCCAGTTCCTGTCCTAGATGCTCCACTTCTGATCCAGTTTTCTGCTTTGGCCTGGGAAAGCAGAAGATGGCCCAAGTGCTTGGGCCACTGCAGCCATGTGGGAGACTTGAAGAAGCTCCTAGCTTCTGATTGGCTCAGCTTCCTCTGTTGCAGCCATTTGGGGAATGAACCTGCAGAAGGAATAGCTTTTACTCTGTCTCTCCCTCCTTCTGTCTGTAACTCTACCTCTCAAATAAATAAATAAATCTTTAAAAACACAAGAGGATGGGGCTGGCACTGTGGCATAGTGTGGGTAAAGCCACCACCTGCATTGCCAGCATCTGATATGGGTGCCAGTTTGTGTCCCAGCCTCATGTCTGATCCAGCTCCCTGCTATGGCCTGGGAAAGCAGTAGAAGATGGCCCAAGTCCATTGGCCGCTGTTCCCACGTAGGAGACTTGGGGAAAGCACCAGGCTCCTCATTGGCTCATCTCTGGCCATGAAGCCAATTGGGGAGTGAACCAGAGGATGGAAGACCTCCCTGGCCCTCGCCCCTGCCCCCGCCCCCGCCTCCGCCTCCGCCCCCTTCTCTGTGTAATCTTTCAGGTAAATAAGTCTTGCCGCTGCCTGCAGCACCTGCATTCTTTTGGGTGCCGATTCGAGTTCCAGCTGCTTCACTTCTTACCCAGCTCTCTGCTAATGAGCCTGGGAAAACAGCACAAAGCAGCCCAAAGCCCTGGGTCCCAGCACCCACTTGGGAGACCCAAGGGAAGCTCCTGGCTCCTGGCTTCAGATCACCCCAGCTCTGACTGTTGCGGCTATTTGGGGAGTGAACCAGTGTATAGATCTGTCTCTCCCTCCCTCTGTTTACTCTGCCTATGAAATAAAATAAATCTTTTTTTAAAACCCCAAAACTTTAAACATTCTTTAAATTAAAAAATATGGTGTGTGTGTGTGTGTGTATATATATATATATATTATCTAGCTCTTTCGACTGACACTGTCACCTAGGAACACCCTAATGTCCAGATCGTGTTTTTAAAATATTATTAAGCACTGTAATAAATTAGAGTTTCTTGAATAAACGGCTATTCCAGGGCTGGAGCAAGGAAAGAACAAGGCAAACCTTAGAGTACCTTGTGCCAGGAAACAACTAAGTGCTCAAAAAATTATAGACAAGTCAAAATGAAACAGAAGTCAGCTTGCAGGGGCTCACTGGCTAAATAGGGCACAGTGTGGACAGCAAAGTAAATGGTGGTAATGAATTATAACTCATTATAATTTGACTAAGACAGAAACCATGGGTCCACAGTGATCTCATAAATGAAACTGGAAACTTGATGAGCAACAGTCTCCTAGTACCTCCCTTACCAGAAACTTTACAATGGACATGACTTACAACCTCATTTAAATCAAGTTATCTAAGTGAACATCATCAAATCAAAACTGCATGCCACTTAAGGCAATGAGAAGGGAATCACTTCTGTGGTATTCCCGCCAAAGTTGCAAAACCTACTCTAATTAAAAGAATATCAGAAGCACCTTAGAGAAATTCTGCAGTATAACTGGTCTGTGGTCTTCAAGAATGTCTAGGCCATAAAAGCAAAGAAAGAAATAATCATTAGGAAATGACCCAGAATGAAAG